AGAGGGCACTGGTCTGCACTGTGGCATTCTCAGGATAAGAGACACACGCTTTCACCGCCACCTTATGGACACCATTCAGCACCAGTATGTTATAGTAACTCTCTGTTGAATGCCAAAAGACATAACATAACTCCAAAAATAAACCACTTTCTAAACGTTCTGAGAACATCGTTTCATCATGACCTTTGACCTGGGCTCACCTGATGTGAATTTCAGTAACAAACGGCATCCAGTCTCCTGTATGGCCTCCGAGTCGAGCCACATGTCCATGGCCTGACACAGCAGACTGTAGCATTTAATGGGTTTGGACATCAGAATCTCAATATTGCTGGCTAGACTCAAGAAAGAGAAGCTTATTTAATACTGTTTGTAATAATATAGTTTAATAGTATCATTTAATATATTTTGTAATTCCAAGTGTATGGAAGTACAATAATGCCATATGTCTTTGAAACAAAAAAGCACGTTGAATAGCGCTAACTGAAAAAATTATGCATTGCATTAACAGTGCTTGCATTTTAATGCCTTGTATTTCCAGGGCTTGCATTTTTAGGTCCTGAAATCTAACATAGTTGTTTATTTAAGCTGTGAATATTTCAATTCAAAATATTTCACACACATTTTCATAATTAAAGATTCAATAATTCATATTCAACTTCCAGAATTCACTTCCAAAATATTCTGTTTAAAATCTAATAATCTGTTTAAAGATACGATGTATAATATTCGACAGGCAAATTTCGGGTCCATTTTATTTCACTTTCCAAATTCGCTTCCACAAATTCAGTGGTTAAAATTCGGCAGAAAATTCGCCATTGCACATCCGGGATCTGCAGGAATAGCGGTAGAGCACCGATGCATGATCTCTAGCTGCTGGCAGTCGCTCACCAGCAGGTGGCGCAAGTGGCTGTTGATGTAGTCATTTACAAAAACTGATCTACAGAAATGGAGCAAGCGCTAAGTAGAAGTTTTGATTATCGGGGCCAGTATAAACATGCGGTAAAGCTGATATTGTGTATGTTTAATTCAACATCTTCGCTGTTTCTCGTAGCATACATGTAAGCAGCTTTTTCTACCACAAAGGAGATTATAATGCTATTTTACCCAACATGCCGGATGTGCAATGGCGAATTTTCTGCCGAATTATAACAACTGAATTTGTGGAAGCGAATTTGGAAAGTGAAATAAAATGGACTGAAATTTGCCTGTCGAATATCATGCATCATATTTTTAAACAGATTGAATATTTTGGAAGTGAATTCTGGAAGGTGAATATGAATTATTGAATTTTTAATTATGAAAATGTGTGTGAAATATTTTGAATTGAAATATTCACAGCTTAAATAAACAACTATGTTAAATTTCAGGACCTAAAAATGCAAGCCCTGGAAATACAAGGCATTAAAATGCAAGCACTGTTAATGCAATGCATTATTTTTTCAGTTAGTGCTATTCAACATGTATATTTGTTTCAAAAACATGTGCCACTATTTTACTTCCATGCAAGTGTGTTATACCTGGAGCAGCCAGTGGTATGAGGACCCTCAGAGCTTGCAGTACCACATTCTCACTGTCCATGAACCGCCTGAGCACATCTAAAACCACCTCATGGTCCTTGTTCTCAATGAACTCCACCAGATGAGCATCAGAAACTGACAATCAAGCAGGTTAATTAGACTGGAATTAACATAAGTGGGGTTTGCTAAGGAAAGCATCACTATTACTAGCGCCCTATGGAATGTATTTTATTTTTCCCAAATTCTGTTTAATTTTTAAGGTCTGTATTTTTGGTTTTAATTTTTTCTGGATTCCATTTGAATGGTTTAATTCAATTTTAATGGTCAAAAACGATGAGTTAAAAAAAAAAATTCTCAATTCTGTGTTGTTTTATTTGATACAGATGTATCAAAAACAGTAGTAATCAAAATAAACCATAAATAAAAAAAAAAATTTAATCTGAAATTTGAACACTTCCTTTCATATTTGGTAAACAGAGTGCTTTACAGTTTAAATTAAAACATGGGAAAAAAATGTGTGTGATATTTCTTAAAAGATTACATAAGCTGCAATATTAGTATTGTTATTATGACTTTGAGAAGTAAATTCGGCTGTCTAACAGAAATAACTTTCTTTTCTAATTTCTTTCAGTTACACTGAACTTTTATTTTGGCGGGTTGTAGTGAAGGTCGTTAATTTTCTGTGAGTATTTGGAGAACGTTTAATCAAATGAAAGGGTGTAAAGCTGGTGAAGTGATTCTCAGAGCAGCTCGCCGCGACATAAGGATGTCGTTACCTCGACAAAATGATCTCGTAGCCACAGCATAATATCACGTTCCCACGAGTTAATATCTCGTGGCCACGCCAAAACTAAGTGAACCAAAGACGTCCCCTCCCGGTCACCGTACTCAAAGGAAATTTGTAACAAATCACTGCTACCTGTTTGCAGCAGTAGTTGTAAAGCAGCACATCCCTGTAGCTGAACCTCTTCTTTGTCATTAAATGACCCCATGGCTTCCAGAACCACAGAAAACACGTCCACTTCCTCCTCATCTAGAACCTGCATCACAATCTCATCTGACCCACACAAAAACTGTTTCACTTCAGGAAAGCAGAAAAATGCACCTCAAGAAAAAAGACACATGCTTATCTAACCATAATCATAATTAGGTTTGTGTAAGGGGAATGTGGACTATTCATAATAAGAAGACTTGAATGTATGAGATGCTTTCTCATTATCCATATTGGTATAATACTGTCATTTCTTAATTGATTATGTCGTTTGCAGTGCTTATTGCAACAAGTAGTTTATTGCCTCATAAAATATGTTAGGTACACAGTATTGTTTCCTTGTTAACTGGTTTGGTTCAAATTTTTATGAAAGAACTTTTTTTGAAATCCCTGCAGAGATCAAATGAATTGGAAAAAATGCATTCGGACCCAATGCACCATAATGGTTGTATAATCAGTACATATAAACATTATTTAAAAGCAAGTCTTACCTGACTTCAGTAGGAGAGCCAGAGCTCTCAAGCCCACCATCATCATCTTGGAGTCATTACGATACATTGAAAGCACCTTAAGAATCTGCCTGTGAACAAACATGCAAACACTTGCATAAACCTGCTGGACATGGATAGCAGCAATGAACTTACTGTATGAATTTCAACAAAAATCAGTTGCAGTATCTCAGACAACATGACGTGTTACAACCAACTTCAGTTGTTTATGGTTATAAAGCGTGGCTTTCAAAACTAAAAAAAAAAAAGTTTAAAATTTAATTTTTCCAAATTTAAAAAAAAGTGCTACCTATAGTTACCTATAGTCGATGTTAAATAGTGTTACCTCTTCCTTCTCTATAGGAGACATTCCAAATTCTATTCAATCTATCAGTTATTAAAGCACCTATAAAAACAAATACTGCATCTGAAACAAATAAACATAATTCAAATAAAAAGAAGATAATTAAATATTTAGAATGCTTGTTGTCTGTCAACATTTCTAGAAATATCTGTGTCTATCAATTATTAAAAGTTTCAGTCAGTTGTGTTCACACAAACAGCCTGGTTTAGATCCTTAGATGAGAGCAAGTTTTGTATTTCATTTGGAAACCAAGGTCCTAGAGTCTGGAGGAAGGGTGGAGAAGCTCATAGCCCAAGTTGCTTGAAGTCCAGTGTTAAGTTTCCACAGTCTGTGATGATTTGGGGTGCAATGTCATCTGCTGGTGTTGGTCCATTGTGTTTTTTGAAAACCAGCGTCACTGCACCCGTTTACCAAGAAATTTTGGAGCACTTCGTGCTTCCTTCTGCTGACCAGCTTTTTGAAGATTCTGATTTCATTTTCCAGCAGGATTTGGTACCTGCCCACACTGCCAAAAGCACCAAAAGTTGGTTAAATGACCATGGTGTTGGTGTGCTTGACTGGCCAGCAAACTCACCAGACCTGAACCCCATAGAGAATCTATGGGGTATTGTCAAGAGGAAAATGAGAAACAAGAGACCAAAAAATGCAGATGAGCTGAAGGCCACTGTCAAAGAAACGTGGGCTTCCATACCACCTCAGCAGTGCTACAAACTGATCACCTCCATGCCACGCTGAATTGAGGCAGTAATTAAAGCAAAATGAGCCCCTACCAAGTATTGAGTACATGTGCAGTAAATGAACATACTTTCCAGAAGGTCAACAATTCACTAAAAATGTTTTTTTTTATTGGTCTTATGAAGTATTCTAATTTGTTGAATTGGTGGGTTTTTGTTAAATGTGAGCCAAAATCATCACAATTAAAAGAACCAAAGACTTAAACTACTTCAGTCTGTGTGCATTGAATTTATTTAATACACGAGTTTCACAATTGAGTTGAATTACTGAAATAAATTAAATTTTCCACGACATTCTAATTTATTGAGATGCACCTGTAATGTGAAAAGTGCTATAGAAATAAACTGAACTGAATTGATTCACAATTTCTTTATATATGCATGAATCCTCCTAGTCAAACACCTTTAATCTTAACCAGCATATATAGAAAAGTTCACTGTACTATACTATATACACAGGAGCCCATACAAGCTCATAGAAATAGTCCAGACTTACTTGTGCACCTCAGTAAACTCATATTCATCTGGGTTGGCCAGACTATCCAGAGTGTTGGGACAGATCTCCATCAGACGACACAGCAGAGACCAGCCTACCTATGATTAAAACCAAAACCTTTAAACACTTTTCTTAGTGAATAAAGCACTGAAATTAAATTTACAGCAGAACAGATCTTACAAGTAACAGTATTACATAAATAAATAAATAAATAATATTTTTGAATAATATAAAATGTTTATATTATTTTGTTATACATATAAATTATATTTTAATATATTTAATCAAATTTTTTATATTAATACATTTTTTATAACAAATTAACATTGATTTCAAAGATGATTTTTAACATTTGAACATGCACTCTTAAAATGAAACCATGTAATGGCATCTCATGTTATGAATCATATGACTGCAAGAATTCACGAACTTCCTGTTCCAGCACAACAGAGTGAAAGCAAGAGAAGGAGCATTGAGTGCCTTGTCAAAGCAAAGGCACCGAGAAAAGCGTCTTGCTGGTAGGTTACAAAAGGAGAACGCAAATATAGGCTACCTATTTTAAGCCATTCACATGCATAGGTAACACGTATAGGCTATTGTTCATTTTTAAAACGCGTTATCTGTTGCTACAGTAGATGTGTGCATATTGGAAGTTGTGCATTGATTTTATTGTGCAATCAATATTATAAAGTATGAATATAAAAATAAAAACAGCTTTCGAGAGCATTCATCTAAACGTAGAAAATGTATTTCGCGACACTTTTTAATTTCGATGTAGTGTTGTTTTAGCTAATATATACAAGCTCGCGATATCGCTGCGTTTACAGACGATGAAACATTTTACACTGTAGGACACACTAAATGAAGCGATTTCGCTAGCTTGCTGGCTCAGCGTAGAGCCTCTTTTATTTGGGGTTTGTGCGGCGTGGACCCGAAAAGTCTGATTCATTTAAGCGAATCGGTTCGTTCGAATGGTTCTCTTCAGTGAACCGAATCCAAAAGTGATTCACTGGTTCGTTGTGCTCAGTTTACAAACGTCCGCCGTGTGGCATTTAATCGTGTGTTTATGTGTTAAAATACACTATATTCCACCACGATATGTTAAAATACGTTGTACAGGTAATGCAAAACGTGTGATTCACAAACAAACAAGCAAATCGGTTCAACGGAGTCATTACCTAGAATCGATTCAAAAGAACAACTGCGCTCGTGGATCACTGCGAATCACACAATAACCTAGTGCTTGTGTGATATTTTCCACAAAAATCAGATTGATTTTGCTGTACAGTAAAATAAACCCCTCATAAAGATCTCTAGACATTTAAAGAATTAATATGAATTGATTTGTAGATGTTTTACTGTTGTGGTTTGAGGTGTGTGCAATGCCAACTTGTTGGGTTGGGTTACATGGCCTTTGTTAATGTTGATCATGTGATGATCTCAAGGTGTTTCCTTTGTGATTTAGGAGACAATGTGCATAAGCTGCAGAGAATGGAGGAGCTGATAGGAGACAGGAGATTTGTTGAGGACAAGAGGAGCTTGATAAAGACGCCATATGATGTCCAGGCCAACAACCAAGAACATGACTCGCCCACGTCCACACATCAGATCCGCTCAGTCCAGCACGGCTCTCCATGTTTCATCTACACCCTGGCTTTTTTCTCGGCTCTGGGTGGATTCCTGTTTGGCTATGACACAGGAGTGGTGTCTGGAGCCATGCTCCTGCTCAAGAGGGAGATGAACCTCAGCTCTCTGTGGCAGGAGCTGCTGGTGTCCATCACTGTTGGTGCCGCGGCCGTTTCCTCTCTGGCTGGAGGGTATCTCAACGGACTCTTCGGCCGGAGAATCTGCATACTGCTCGCTAGCTTCATCTTTTCTGCTGGAGGAATCATCATGAGCGTCGCACACAACAAAGAGGTTCTTCTGTGTGGGAGGCTTACGGTTGGGCTTGGGATAGGTAGGTTATATATAGTAAAACTATTTGATTTCAGTTTGTGTGCCTTATTGTTTTTTTATGTCCTGTGTTTTAGGAATTGCATCTATGACCGTGCCCGTCTACATCGCTGAGGTTTCACCTTCTGAACTCCGAGGTCAGCTGGTCACTATTAACACCCTGTTTATCACCGGTGGCCAGTTCGTAGCTAGCGTGGTGGATGGGGTCTTTAGCTACCTGCCCCATGACGGCTGGAGGTGAGTAAAAACTGAAGTTTTACCTCTCAAATCTGTCTTTATAAAAATATCAGTCTTCTTTTTAAGATTTTATTGTGCTACTGGTATATGTTTGCCACCCATGAGGTCTGAATTGTTTATACTGAGTGGCCAAGATGCTGCAACCCAATAATATTTGTAATAATAAAAAAATAAAACAAAGTTTTATTAAAGGGGTCCTATTATGCTCTTTGACAAAGTCTTGATTTTGTTTTGACAAATCCCGGAAAATATGCGTTGTAGTCCAAACGAGTCGTTCGTTGTAGTTTTTGAAAAGTGATTTCTGTTAAATAAAATATCTCCTTTTGAAGTGGACTTTGAGCTTTGTAACTTTGCAGATCTTTTTTATGCTCAAACAGCAACATTGCAGACTAATTAAAGTTGAAAAAGTGAAAAAGCATAATAGGACCCCTTTAATTAAACATAAAAATAATGTAATAAAATAAATAAAAAAAATATTAAAACAACAGAAATTGTCAGAACACATCAGCTACTGCATAATAATACCCTGGTAACTATAGCAATATAAATATATTGCATATATTACATACACACATATTACTTCTACCTAAACATGTATAAAGCGATTATATGTGACACTGCATCAGAACAAAACCTGTCATAAGGGTCAGTTTTTTGAAAATTGAGATTTATACATCATCTGAAAACAAGGAAAGAGGTATAAAAATAGGACAATATTTGGCCGAGATACAACTGTTTGAAAATCTGGAATCTTCGGGTGCAAAAAAAAAAAATCCAAATATTGAGAAAATCGCCTTTAAAGTTGTCCAAATGAAGTTCTTAGCAATGCATATTACTAATCAAAAATTAAGTTTTGATATATTTACGGTAGGAAATTTACAAAATATCTTCATGGAACATGATCTTTAATATCCTAATGATTTTTTGGCATGAAAGAAAAATCGTAAATTTTAGTGTATTTTTGGCTTTTGCAACAAATAGAACCGTGCTACTTAAGACTGGTTTTGTGCTCCAGGGTCACATATTATAAAAAAATAGTCATATTCAGACATTCTGCAGGAAAAGTAGAGAATTTGAATGTGAGATAAAAAATTAGATATAAAAGTTTTTCATAACCTGGTTTTTGTAATCATTTTTGAATCATTTTTGTGTTCGTGTATAGGTATATGTTGGGTTTGTCAGTTGTTCCTGCTGCGCTGCAGTTCCTGGGGTTCCTCTTCCTCCCGGAGAGTCCTCGCTGGCTCCTGCAGAAAGGAGATACCCAGAATGCTCGGCTGGTGCTCAGTCGAATCCGCGGCGGTGTAAATGTGGATGAAGAGTATGAGAGCATACGGAGCAGCATTGAGGAGGAGAAGATTGATGCTGGAGGTGAGATCATCCAGAAACCTGGAAATATTTGAAATTGCGTTTTCTAGGCCAGTGGTTCCCAACCCTGGTCCTGGAGGCACCCCAACACTGCACGTTTTGCATGTCTCCTTAATCAAACACACCTGATTCAGATCATCAGCTCATTAGTAGAGAATTCAAGACCTAAAATTGGTGTGTCAGAGAAAGGAGACATACAAAATGTGCAGTGTTGGGGTGCCTCCAGGACCAGGGTTGGGAACCACTGTTCTAGGCCATAGTGATATCAGATTTGAGCTTTTTTTGAGTGAATCGTTTACATTTATATTCATTTAGCAGAGGGTTCTCCAAGCAACGTAGAAATGAGAAATACAATAAAGTGATTCAACCTTGAAATAACAACAACCTTATTGTTCTTTATTGTGCTTTAGCAAGGAAATGTGTCATTGATGAACCAGAATCAAAATTATTTTTATAAAACCTAATAAAGTAATCATAAATGACTAGAAATTAAACTGTGTAAACTCTATGGTAATTGTATAAAATGATTATATAATTTTCACTGATTGATTGATTATCTTCTAGAGGGTCCAGTGTTGTGGCGTATCCTGACGTTCGCTCCAGCACGGCGTGCTCTGATCGTGGGTTGTGGCCTACAGATGTTCCAGCAGCTCTCGGGAATCAACACGGTCATGTAGGTTACTAGAGCGCATTTGAGTCTATTTGACTCCCTGGTAATATGACTAATATTACCGATATATCACCGATATATCGGCTGTCAATATTTATCAGCCATTTTTTTATCAATTTAATACCATCAGCAATAAACTAGCTAGCATATCATAATGTACTGTATACTTTACTCATGTAAAACATGATCAAAACAGTAATCTGTTTTAATGACAAAAGTTAAATAAGTGAGGAAGTGACAAATATCGGTATTGGAATCAGACAGTTATTGTTTGTTAAAATCGGCCCAAGTATCGGCCAAAAAAATCCAATCAGTGCATCACTAAGTTAACGTTATTGTTATCATCAACGTCCTTGGTGTGAATTGAAGGCTAATTCAGAATTGAATTGCAGCTTTTTATTTTACAATACTGACTTTTTTCTCGCAATTCTCAGAAAAAAAGTCAGAATCGTGAGATATGTAAACTCGAAATTCTAAGAAGAAAAGTCAGAACTAACAATTGTGAGAAAAAAGTCAGAATTGTGAGGGGGAAAAAAGGTCGCAATTACCTTTATATTTTTTCTGTGGTGGAAACAAAAACAGAATTACGAAACGTAAACTTTTTTTTTTTCCTGCAGTTGTCATAATTATAAGAATTCCACGATACAAACTCATAATTGCAAGAAAAAAAGTCAGGATCATGAGGAAAAAAAGTTGCATTTACATTGTGACTCGCAAATACCTGCCTAAAAAAATAAAACGGAATTGCGAGATGTTAACTCAATTGTGTGTTTAGAACTTGCGATTGTGATATATTAACCCGCAATTCTGAGAAGAAAAGTCAGAACTAACAATTGTGAGAAAAAGGTCAGAATTGTGAGGGGGAAAAAGTCGCAATTATCGTTTTTATTTTTGTATTCCTTGGTGGAAACAAAAACAGAATTGCGAGATGTAAACATTTTCTCACAGTTCTGAAATTTGTTTTCTCGCAGTTTTCAGAATTGTAAGAAAAAACTCATAATTGCGTGATACAAACTCACAATTGCAAGAAAAATGTCAGAGTTATGATAAAGGCACAGTTACTTTGCAACTCACAAATA